CGAGTTGAAGCTCAGAACACACATAAAACTTTTGCATAAAGGCAAAAAATAAAATAAATTTCAGTATAGCAGACCACGCCACATTGTCCAAACAAACTGAGCAAATTGGCAAAGCAGGAAACATAGTCTGCTTGGGAGTTCTTCTCTTTGCTTGCTCAAGGCTTGCATGCTAGCATATTTGTCACTCATTTTGGATACATTGTCGTAAGACTGCCCACGGAAATCTTGAATTCTTATATCATTCTTTTCAAGGAAATTAATGAGAACTCTAACAAGTTCTGCTCATCAGTAAGAATGTAGCATATCTCTGTACAGGGCCACCATCTAGAACATACTTAAAGATTATTGTCAGTTTCTGCGTATAGGATCTGTCTGGAGTAGAATTAACAGACACTAAGTAATACTTCGGTGTTTTGATTTCCTGGATAATGGTGATCAGAGTTTTTTTGTGTAGGATTTCAATGAATTCGTCACAAACAATTGAGGATATGTATGAAATATGATATTTTCCCTTATTTGCGCGCATTTGAATGTGTTCAGTAAGAAATTTATGATACTCAGCCGATAGTTCTAGTATTCTTAAGTAAATTATGCACTGAACAAACTACATTACTGCTTCCTCAGAATGCCAGTCCTCGGGGTGATAGAAACCTTATGAGGAAGAGAATATGCTATAGAACTTGTTTCTAGTATTTCTTTTTTTTTTCTGACTACATCCGCTCTTTAAAATCTTGTTAATTCATCTACGTTTGGTTTTACAAATAACAAATTTGGTGACGCAACTTAATGCAGCGAGCTTGTTTCGTGCCGACTAAAGTCCCTTGCAGCATGTTTCTAGCCAGAGTAAGAGCTAGCGAAGAGATTCCCATTGCTGTTGAAAAGCATTTGCATATACTACAGAAGACGTTCTCCTTCAACAGTGAGTAGCAAAGCCGATATCTTTTAATCTTTTGGCCATTCAACTGCTCGCGATAAAAAAAAAAGTGTTTGATTTTTGGCATTTATATTTGTCACCCGGAATCGATTTTGTAGATTCACTGAAAACTAGATCCATGAACTGGCAAGAGGTAATTTCCAACGTGCAAACAAAATCTTTCATTTCGTCAGTTTTTTTTTGTTTTTGAATTTCGCGCAAAGCTACACGAGGGCTATCTGCGCTAGCCGTCCCTAATTTAGCAGTGTAAGACTAGAGGGAAGGCAGCTAGTCATCACCACCCACCGCCAACTCTTGGGCTACTCTTTTACCAACGAATAGTGGGATTGACCGTCAC